GCTGCCATCAGACGATGCTTAAGTTGCATGCGTGTGCCTCAGCAGTGCCGGAGTTTGAGCGCTCCCAACTTGCATCCTTCCTTGACGTGCGAGCTTCAGCTTGAAACTGAGTACCAGCGCATAGCGGCGCAGGTCAGAAGTGGAGTCTGTTTTCCATGCGCCGAGGCACGACAGGATTTCTGAACTCACCAGGAAAGCGTACGGAGCCGAACAAAGCTTGGAGTGCCAGTGAAACGGCCCAGAAAACAGTGCAGGCCAGAGGGACGGCGCAGCCGAACAGGCAGAGAAACGCCAGCACTTCGATGCGCGATCCTCGGGTTCTAGATGCGGTAGATACAATAGATAGATGTTGTGGGCATGCACATAGGTGACATCCGGGCCTGCACAGGATCTTCACGCTGGTTGGAAGCCAAATGCAACACACTGGTCTATTGGACTACGGATGAACTTGCATATGTGTTTTGACTTCCGGGGCCTGCCGTGAACCACTCGCCCAGAACCAAGCACAAGTTATTGGATGCTCGGAGACCAGTGCTACGCTTCTTCTGCCGAAGACGTCTGTAGGTGCAGTGGTCGGTTAATGCGCGGAGAATGTGAAACAGAAACGTGCTCTTGCCACCTCGTGATGGAGTTTGCTGGTAGGGCGGGGGGCATCCCTCGTCCCGTTTCAAGACACCACCGCCCATGTCAACACACAACTACTGCAGTCATTTGCGACATGTTCCCAGAGGCTGCATTGATATACTATTGACCAGCAAGATATATCCCGAAAGTTGAGGTTGTGTTGCGTTGCGTTCAAACACCAAGTTGATAGCTGGCACGTTATGTCACCTATTGTTGCCCTGTATTTGCGGATCTCTGACATAAGATATTGAAAATGTGGCTCATCCTGCCAGAGCAGCCTCAACGATTCTTGTAGAAGTGTTGTTCCGCTGTATTCGAGCCGTGCGGCTCAGGCAGAGCCTTTCTATAAAGTGTCTGTGCAGTTCTTGTTAGGGTACTCGTACTCAGGGTTCATCACCAAAGGTGATGGGCTCTCTCCAGTTGTTGCTAAGCCTATGGACAGTTGCATTTGCGATCCGCCACGAAGACAGTCAGCCAAGCGCGTTTGACCCAGCGCAGGTGGCAGCCTCTCTTAACGAAGAATTTCAGAAAGGAACCTTTTCCGAGAGTCTCGCTCAGGCTGGAGTAGTCGTGAGAGTTTTTTTCGAAAGTTGGGTGTATGTGCACGGGCGAAGTGATGGCAGCGATGGTTCTTTGAATGGTGTCATGGAGAAGGTCGAAGCAGCAAGGTCATGGGATGATGTGGTTTCCATTCACACACGGGTGATGTCTGCGACTCTCCTGAATATAGGCATGATGCAAGACCATGGCCTAGACCTTTGGCCGCATGGCATCTGCGGTCTGGTTCTCAACACCACAGACTACAATGATAGGTGGCGATGCTTTTATCCAGCGGATGGTTGTTCCGACCTGCGCGATGGTACTGGCTGTGGTCGACATTTTTGGAGCTATACAGGCGCTGACAGGCAGAAGTGCACTTCATTTGCCAAGCCAAGCTGCGATTTGGCTGAGTGGTCAGCTTTTAGAACTTGGAAATGCAGCGGCTGTCCATACCATCCCACCAACCTGGTTGACGGACTGAAGATGCAAATAGCCTGGAAGGATGCGGTCAGGGCGTGTGGCAGCTTCAATGTAACCGAGCATTTCCACGGACTCACATACAATGAACTGGTCCTCCCGTACAATCCTGACAGTGCTAACCAGGTGACAGCTTTGTTCTGTCGGACGGTTCCAGATGTCTTTTCAAGTGAACAATACCGCGGTATTATCGCGGCAGCGTTTAAACTGCGCAACCTCTACGAGGCCAGATTTGCAAAGCCCATCCCCGTGCTCGCAGCAGATTTCGCAAGCCCCTCACCATTCTCACCATTATGACCAGCGATCTTGCTGATCGGAGAAGTTGCAGATCAGCCCCTCTCCTTTTGCAGCCAGTGTCCTACTTGCCACTGCCAGGTCGAGCAGATCGGGAAAACAATGCCTTGCAGGTCTGCACACCCAACCCAGGCTGCGTCGCTGGACTTAGTAAGTTACAGCCGCAGTGCGTCGTGTATCATGCTGACAGTCTTGGTGCTGCGAAAGGCTTGGCTCTAGCCTTCAGGGTATGCCGCAAGTAGCATTGTAGTCTCTAAAATGGTGCGTTCATGGTTGGGTCCTGAGAAAGTGGTCATGCCCATCCTGGAGCCGTTTTGGCCAGTGTTCCTCGTTGTGGGCACTGGCTTCTATGTCTTGGGCTTGGCTCTGGGAAAGACCAGGGCTTTCGAAAGCAAGCTTTCTGCTTGCCAGCCTCCTAACAGCCTTCTCTACATATCGATCTTTGTGGTGTATGTGATATCTTACAGCTCACAGGGCCTGATTTGGGAGTTCCACAAGTTGAGTGAAGCTTCGTTGCTGGTAGTGCAAGCACAGATTGTGCCGTGGCTATGATCAGGGGCAGTCTAGTGCTCTTGTAGATGGAGCTTTGTGGTAACAGCAGCAGAAGATGTACAGTTTGGGGTCCAGCTTCCTACATCAATCGCTCAGGTGCTGATTTCAAAGCTTCTTTGCATGGCTCTTGGAATCGGGTATGCAGCTAGTCTGGGCTGCTCCACACGTTGCTTCGAGGTGGGCAGCGCAGCGGGATGGTTGGGGGAGGGTGGGTTGGATCTGGCAGCAGCATTCATTGAGAAGCCAATCCCATAGCAGTTGCACCAAGCGCTAAGTCCACAAAGAGGCAAGTCTGAGAGGTCTAGCTAAACGGTTTAGCTCACTTGGGGATGAGCTGGCGTTCTTCGCGTCAGGCCCGCAGCATCGCCAGATATTCACTGCCCGGCTTCTGCTTTGGCTTCTACGACGTCTTCAGGATGATGGCTCTCCTGAAGATCAGCGCCGGTTCAGTGCAGGTCTTACTACAATTCCAATTGATCCCAATGGTGCTTCTGCGAAGTCTGGTCTTCCGAGCTGGCATTCAGCCCTCTGACTGGACGCTGCTCCTTGCTGTGACATGCGGTTGTGCAGGCTTCCAGTACACTCATGATGCTACATGTGCGCTGGGCATGGCTTACACTGCCGTTTCCATGGGCTTCAGTGTTGTTGGCAACGTCCTCGGTGAGTATTTGCTTACTTCAGAGCATCAAGAGCCCGTGATCCTTCAGAATACCTGGAGCCTGGCAAGTGAAGCCTTGGCGGCATTCGTCATGGTGCTGTTGGACAGGACCTGTTTCTTTGCACGATATTGTTGTTGCAATTTCTGCACGCCCCTGATGGAGCTTCGCAGCCAGTAGCATGTGGCAGCACTTTGTTCTTTTGGTGGACACGTGTGTAGGAAGGTTCTGATACCGGATGCAGGAACATGAACGGGAGCGTCCTCATATTACCAAAGTGGTCGCCTCTGATTTGGACTCTCGTTGCTGCTGGTGCTTTGCACACCTTGGTGTCGACAACGGCTTGCAAGGCCATTGGATCTGTGCCAAAGACCATAGCTGCTAACATCTCGACAGTCTTTCCCACCTGGTTAGTGTTGATGCTGATTGGAGTGGAGTCCCCTTATGATGTTCCAAAGATTCTGTTTGGTCTTGTCGTCCTCACAACATCCGCCACCTTCACCCTGAAGAACGCGAGCTGAGAGGGGTAGTCAGAAGAGGCATGGAGGTAGACGCACATAGCAGAATAGTGCGAAGTTTGCGCTGCGTTGCCCTTGGCCGGCGGTCCGTCGCTGAAGGCGCACGCTGCTTCCAAAACGCCCGTGTACGGGTTTAGCTTTAAGGTTTGGAGTTTGGGGGTAGGGGGGTTTGGGGAGGGGGGGAGCTGCCATTCACCGTGCATGTAGTGACTGCCGCGGGGATGCTTCGTTTGGTGACATGTGCGGGAGTTTGCTTCCTGCTGCAAACAGGTCCTCATGTTCGCTTGCTTGGATGCTTGTGTGCGCACCGTGGGTCAAGACTGAGACCGATGGTAGCATCGAGCTGGGAAATGCCACCGCAGTGGGCTGTAGAATGTCAGAGGGCCGAAGCTAGCAATCCCACCAAGCACAGGACCTCCATCGTCCTAGGTGCGTTATAAGCGTTTGCCTGCAGTACCACGAGCTACTGGTATGCCAGAAGAGGACGCAGTTTCTTGCATCCTGGCATCGCTGTATGCCACACCTGGCCTCTGTGAAGGTCATGATCCCTGCAGGACAGGCTGCATGCACCCTAAGCCATAAAGCGTACATTCTGGAGTAGATGTGTAGTTAGCCTTATATTCAACAGCCCACTGAAGGTGGAATCGCACATGAACGTACAATGTATGGGTGAATTGTGCAGTATTTACATTCGGACGCTTCCTGTTTGTTGTAAACAGCCTGGCCGGCTCGAACATTGCAGTTCTGGTGGAGTCAGCCACCTAAATTCCCAAGATTATGGGCATCTTCGGTGCGGGCAAGGCACAGACTGTGAAATGCACTGGTGCTGCGGCTTTCCCAGAACCCCGCACCACGTGAGCTAGCAAATGTGGCGACGTGGGATCCAGGACAGCATGGCTGCCGCCGCCGCCTTGTGCTGGCTGTGCCTGTCCATGGCTGTGCTGGGCGCAGGCTACGCGAACGTACAAGGAATCGATTCAGTTTGGCTTGTTTGAACCAAAAGCTCACATACGACCTTTACCGCCGACCATCAACTTCAGCGTTGCGAACCTGCTCGGGGGGGCATGAAAAGGCTTGGGGCTTATGGTAAGGGCCAGAAAGTTGGAGCATGATTATGCTCATGCCGCCTCATGCCCTTACTGCAAAGTATAAGGGATCCTGGCACTAATCCTCCTAAATCCATGTTCCAGCTTTCTGGGATTCGCTGTAGGGTGTAGTTTCCTTTTTGTTTGTGGCAGTCCGCACAGGCTACGGTGTGCCCTGGCGAGTGGCGCACGGATCCCAGTGTCAAAGTTCTGGGCTTTGAGATGCTTTGAGTGTATAGGATTGGGGATTTAGGGTTGACGGATCTGGGAGGTTTTGGGTTGTTGGGGCTCTTCAGCGTTGTCGGGCTTCTGCAGCAAGTCTGACGACCAAGACGATAGGTTCGGCAATTTAAAACTTTTAACCCGCGCTCAGCGGTGATGCTGTTAGGTGGACCCAGCAGATCAAACTTGAGCAAGATGTGTGCAGCGCAAGCGCTCTTCCTGGTTTAGAAGTTCAGTGACAGTATAGTCCAGGAACGAACTTTCTGCTGAGGTTGTAACAACCGCAAGTTGCACGCAGTCTTGGCTACTCGGGCAAGAAGGGTTTTACAGGAGTCCCGCCGCAACGATTCATCACTTCCGATGCTTGTCTGCCCTTTCAGCAGTGTTTGTTGAGGCATAAAGTCCCTGCCCCAAATGAGTCATCATCCGAATCAACTAACGGTACGAGCGTTGTGATAGCAGGTTTTGAGAGCCTCTTCGCACAACGGAGAAGATCTCCATCAGTCCACCCGTGGTGTTGCTCCAGGCCCTGTATGCCATAGTCATCCTCATGTTTTGCACAGCATCCGTGGCGTGCTGGGTGGTTTATGTGGTCTTCTTTGGATTGGTAAGATGGATCCTGCTTGGACTGCTCTTCATTCCGTGGTTCTTGGTGGCAGTCGGCTGGCAGTTGTGCAATGCACTTGTCACAGGCGTTCTTGCACCGGTGGCTTTGGTGACGTGGCTGGCAACAGCAGTGTCCTCTCTGTTCGGACCTGACGAGTGTTTCCATTGCTGGTATACCCCAGAGGAGTGGATGGCTCACGCAGGCTCTTGTCTCAAAAGCTTCATGGAACAGGCATACAGAGAGTTGTCTCACTATGAAAGCTTTTATCAATTCCAAGACCAGGTGACGTCTTCTACACAGCAATGGCTGATTGCTCTGTCGGATGGTGGATTGTTAGCCGTCGCTTCCATCTATGTGATTGTTTACTCCTACGTGCAGGTCAACTTGCATGAAGACTGTGCACGGGACCTGCGGAAAGCATATAGGGCGATCCTGGAGTTGCCATTGAGGCCTCTGACACAGGTTTCCGAAGCCGTCACGGAAAGGATTGAAAGAGAAGCGAGCAATTTGTGGGTGGACTTCCTCAGCAGCTCACGCTTGATGATTGCTTGGGCAGAAGACTGGCCTCAGGGATTTATTGGCCTCGTGTTGGTGCTCAGATATATGCTTCCAGATGAAGGGGTCAAAGGCATTGGCTTTGCAGGCATATCAGCACCGATCAGCCTGTCGAAGGGACTTCTGATCCCGACGTTCCAAAAGCCATGTTTGAGCGGCGTCGCCAAGAAGTACAACAAAGCTTGGAGCATCTGGTAGGTTCCGACAAGGCCCTGGAGGAGCTCACCGACAGGTTGCGGGAGGCACCGGGAAGGATCCCTCGTGGTCAGATAAAGACGTTGTTGCAAGAGGTGCTGAAGGAGCTTTCGGACGACGTCTTGAGGCGCTTCAATGTGGGAGAGCGTGAGCTCTTTCTTCCAATCATTTCAGAGCGTGACAGGTGGTTATGGTGGTTGAACCAGTGCATGTCCGAGGACAGGTTCGACAGTGTAGTAGCCAAGCTAGTTGCTACCTATGTCGAAGGTGGTGCCTCAGCAGCCGACCTCTCTGTCGCATCGTATGTAGCTGGAGCCTGCAAGAGAGCTGCTGCGAAGATTGCAAGAACGCCGGCTACAATGCCGAGAGCTGCCGAAAAGGCGGCTTTCGGTGTTCCGAGTGCCGAGCGGTGCTACTCGTCGAAACCGCCGGACACTGTAAGGAAAGTGGCTTCATCTGTGAGGATTGCAAAGCAGCGGGCTTCTCAGCGACAGAATGCCGCGTCGCGGGCTTCTCGTGAGTGAGTGCCGGCATGCAGGCTTCACGCTTGGTGAGTGCAGAGCTGCTGGCTACTCTGCGGAGGAGTGCAAAGCTGCGGGTTGCTCTTTGGAGGAGTGCCAGCTTGCCGGATATTCAGCCAGCCAGCTGAAGCCAGCTGGTTTTTCGGCCGCTGACCTCAAAAAGGCGGAATTTCCGCCCGCCGAGCTCCGCAAAGCCGGCTTCAAAGTGAAAGACTTCAAGAGTGCAGGGTACTCGGCTGCTGATTGCAAAGAGGCAGGTTTCTCAATAGATGAGTGTAGCGTTGTCTATCCGGCCAAGGAGCTACAACAAGCTGGTTTCACACGCGCGTTGTTGGATCGTTTAGGACTTCGCCGTTCGCCTTAAGCATGAGCATCGCAAGATTGCCATGCCCAGACTTTGTGCCGGCAGCCCAAAGGGCCCCGTGCGAGCCAAGCCCCAAAGCCGGACGAAATGCCAAGAATGAGAACACGCATGAACGAGGCACTTGAGTTTGTCAGCCTAGGATGGGCACGCAATATTCGTGATGAGCTCTGGGATTTCAGTTAATTTGGACATGCTGAAGTCTCGGCTCCAGATAGTTGCAGGATAAGACCTTGCCAAACGACGAAATCAACAGCCGGGCGAATCAAGACAGCATTCGATCAGTGTTGGTCATTTGGATCATATCGTCCGACATGCTTGGTCGTGAGCCATTCGCCTGTGATGAGCCAGGCCAGAGTGTCGGAGAGTCACCAACCGCAGCATTTGGCAGTATCTGGCGCATGACGCATGCCCAGGACAGTGACACAGCAGGTGACTTGCAGCAACATTTGGATGAGACATTAGCCAGGAGCGCTGAGGGCAGCTGGCATTGCTCAGGTTACCTCGTTCGGAGCAAGGGACATGTGGTAGCCCTTCTGCGGAGGATCGAAAGCGATGTGACTTGCGTTGTGGCCGCTTAGTATGCACGGTTGCTCTTGTTCACAGTTCAGACATGGCGTGCGCAGTGGTTGCTCTGCACCCTTGCATTCAACGACAGAGGTGCGGAGTATCCGCGACTGCAACTTTTCCGCGGACGCCTCGGGTGTTCTCTTGGTAATGCGTTTCCGCTTCATCGCCCAACCTAGGTGAGCATTGCTGATCCTGCACAGGCAAGACTCGTGGAGTAGAATCGATGCGTAGTTAGTTTGAGAGGAGCATCTTGCTTTATCGTGTCGTCTTGGATGTCTTGATGCTGCTGTGGTGTATCACAAACGTAGGTTTGCAAATCCCATGCTTTCTGCTGCGCAGCCCGACTGCCCGCTCATCTCCGTCTCAGAGGCAGGTTCGTAGCCAGATTTGTCCTGCAGATTGGAGCGCGGAGCGTGGACCCACCATCGTTTCAGAGATCAGCGATTTGTCCGAACAACGATCCCAGAGCATGGATCTGTGTTGCATGATGGAACTTTGTGTCACGACGCATATATTTCCGTTGTCGATCTTTGCGTGGGTGCATCTCGACAGATTGGCAAAGCAAAAAAGTACGAGGTCCCCGGGTATCTAAACAGAGCAGATGCCTGGTACACTGAGGGATTTTGCGAGCTGACGGGCTATGACCGCGAGACCATTCTTGGGCAACGACGGCATTATTGAATTCTACACGTGGCTTCAGATCAGTGGCACTTGCATCAGATTGGTCGTGTACATTTGCCAGGCAGAATTGCCGTTTTTTGAACGACGGTTGTGACATCCAGCCCCGTCCTTCAGCCAATGACCTTCGTGAGGCACCCAATGCTGAAGCACTCTTGCCGAGCATCTCAGGCCCTCCGACCGGCAAGGTCTCCGTGTCTCTGCAAAGCCCGCTGCTAAATCATGACATTCAAGGTCGTGCTCAAAAGCATGTGGCTTCCTTGAGCTGCCAAGAGGACCGGCAAGCATTTCTGCGGAGTGCTGAAGAATCTCAAGGTGCTTTGAATGCTACGTCGTGACCCTCAACACATGACTTGAAGTGCTGGTCCCAGGCGGATGGTACGCCATTTCTGAACCTGCTGGACATGCCCATTGCCTGAGCGACCGTGTAGCACCCGAATGCAGTGTGAACTTGGCGCCCCTCCAGATTTTGGGTCGTTCTGACTCTGTTCAATTTGCCTGCCTGCCGCGCAAGTTCTACAGACGATTGTCGCTTTGGGGTGCCTAGTTTCTGCAGTATGAGGCGTGGCCTGTCGGTCGGCAGAACGAAAGATGGTGAGGACTGCAGTGTCTCTGCATTTTCTGATCGGACTTTAATGCTTATGTGTCAACAGGTCGAAAGCTCCAACCCATACATACGAGTGTGTTTCATGGTGGAAGGAGCGCTTCTTCATCGTCGGCATTCAGGTCTGGAGTGCTGGAGTTTGGCCTGGCCGAGGAGAGACTAGCTCGCCTCGAGTCGCATTGGCTGAGGCAGATGTGAGCGAACAGGGATCCGAGGAGTTACCTCTGGAGCACAAGACGCAGATGCCACGGACTCGGCTCGCAATGCGGGCCTCTGCCAGCGCGAGCCTTTTTCTGAGTTTTCGAGTCAGGCAGTACATCGCCACACTCGTCCGTGATGCAGGGAGCTAAGCGCACAAATCATGAGTGCTCGTGGATCAAGCCGTTGCAACCTACCGCAGGAGCTGTCTTCCGGCCTACAGCAAGAAGCCATCGTGACCGAATGGCTGGCCTGTTTTTGCGATGACAGTGTGGGTGCGAAGTGTTTGGAGAATTCCAGGCAAGCGCTGGAGACGATGTTTCAAGCCCCTGCCTGAGCACCCCAACTTTCCACGTTACAAATGCCTGCCATGTCTTTGTCTAGCACGCTGCGGCTCAAAGGTGACATCACCCCATACGAGGAGCCCAGGTGGATAGTAGGAGAGGCCGGATGCAGTAATGCAGTGGGTGCCTCCGTGTGAGCCGTAGACACATCGTCCAGTGCAGGTCTTCGAAACGCATGCTCTCGGTGGCTAGCCCATTTTTCGCTGGGAAAATACGTGCAGCTGATGCGACACCTGGAAGTCAGATAAGCCTGAAACCTCCGTTCGTAGCCGTCGTGGGCAGGTATGGTTGCAACAGGTCTCTCCAGCTCATTGTAGAAGTGGGCCTCTTGAGGAACGCACCTGACCTGTAGTGACTTCATCTGAATGCCCCAATCTTGCCTGCTTGACGTTCATGCAAGTGCACCACCTGTGATTCCTCTGCTCGCAATGGGCTCGAGGATACATTCTCCTATTGCTGTCGACAGATGCCAGATATAAACCACGGCATCGGCAGTTTTCCCCGCTCAAAACTCTGCTGCAGTTGGCTTCTAGGTGTTTGACCTGTAGGCTTTTGATGTCCCATGCTCTCCAGTTCACGGCAAACTCCGACGTAAACTTTTTCCCCGAACTCACCGATTTACACATAGGACTGCCGCTGCCATAGAAGATGGTTTAGTACTCAGCTTGCTGAATGCCAGCCATGTCGGAGGAAGTTGGCCACTTGGAAGCCGGACCCGACTGCGATGGGCTGGAAGTTTCTGCAGGCCATTCAAGCGGTTCCGGCACCTCTGCGCAAGCTTCCTCTCGAGCCTCCGCCACGAAGTCTTGGTTGGAAGCGAACAGGCTGCTGGACGGAAGGGGTTGTGTTGCTTTGGTCAGTGATGAAGCAATGCTCCTTCACGCCGGCCCAACCAATCACCCTGAACGGCCCGCGAGGCTTGCAGAAATACTGAAGCAGCTTGACTTGTCAGGCTTGCAATCGACATGCACACAAGTTGCATCCCGAGAAGCAACCAAAGAGGAGTTGCTGAGGGTTCACACGGAGAATCACATCGATCTTGTATCCAAGTCTTCTTCAGTTCCAAAGAAGAAGGGCAAAGACTGGGGACTGCAGCCTGGCTTATTGGTCTCAGTCTCGGTCCTTCAGGGGTTAGGTCGCTTGGGTCTTTAAACGGGCTCATAGACTTTTGCCAGCTTGAGCCTCTGAGCTGTCAGGCCATTCGGTCCTGATACCTACGCGAACGAGCACACACCGCACTGTACTTTTCTCTCTGCTGGTTGCTTGTTAGCCTTGGTCGACCACTGCTTGAGAGACACTGCCAGTGAACGATGCGGCATGGCTATGATACGTCCTCCGGGCCACCATGCCAGCGCCGAGAAGGCATCTGGCTTCTGCATGTTCAACAACGTAGCGGTGGCTGCGCGACATGCCCAGCGTGAGCATGGACTTCAGCGTGTCGCCATCCTTGATTGGGACGTGCACCACGGAAACGGAACAAATGACGTGTTTGCGGACGACGACGGCGTCCTCTTCTTCAGCCTGCACAGATACGATAGTACGTTTTTTCCCGGCACAGGGTATGCCGAAGATGTCGGAAAGTCCAGTGCCAGAGGGTACAACGTGAACGTGCCTTTGGACAAGGGCTTTGGGGACCTCGATGTAGCGTATGTCATGCGCTGCAGCCTAAGTCCTGTGATTGACGTGGTCGTAGGCTCACGTGTGGTCGTGGCAGCCTGAGGCTATTTGATCTGTCCAGTTATCGAGAAGTTTAACCCCGAAGCCATCTTCATCTCTGCTGGATTCGATGCAGTGCGGACCTCGTCCGATCAAGTACGAGGTGTCAGTTTGCCCCCTGCCAGCTTGACACCCCTGGCTTCAAGCCCTACAGGGTCGTTGCAACTGCACTACCCAGAATGACTCCGTTTGAGTTCTCGACACTCTGAAACCCAAGACATGTCCTGGGCATGTGCTTTTCACACCTCGCTCTTACATTCAATCGCCCAGACCGACATAGCTCTCGGGGTCAGCGGAATCCTAATCTCCTACGCTGAAATCCAAAGCTTTGGGAAACCCAAGTCTCAGCCCTCAGATGCTCGGATTCCAGCCAATCTGACTTGAACTGTCCAAGCGAGTGTTTGAATGAGCATTCTTCATCAAGTTGCTGGAGTGTTGAAGCATTCCAGGGGCATCGGGGAAATTGGTAGATCTGGAAATGCTTGCGCTACGTGTGGTCTCCGAGCGCAGGAACTATCGGTCAGGATGTGGTTTAGTACCGTCAGGGAGTTTTCTTCGACATGATTCCGTGCTGACATGCTCGGAGTTCAGACCCTGCTCCGCCTGCTCCTGCGAGCATTGGCAAACCTTGCGTGTCACTCGCGGTATGCAAGACCTGTTACGCATTTATGGCTGCTTCCCGCCACTCAAAGTCGAGGACGACGAAGTCGAGGATGAGGGAGCGCGAGGCAAGGACGAGGAGAAGAAGGAAAAGAAGGGGCGAGGGCGAGTCGACCACGACCACTGCAACGAAGACGGCGATGACGACGACGACGCCGTGATGGTTTCCACAGATGCACCCGGAACATTGACAAGCATTCACGGTTCCCCAGTGCTTCCTGTTGGTTGCTTCTTAGCTGTAGCCGAAGGTCCACGGAGATCCCCTCGGAGGGTGTCGTGTCAGCCCGGAAGGGTTTGGATGGACCGCACATGATATTTCGGCTTGAGGTTCACGCCTTCGGTCTAGAACGAACATGGCCAGAAGACGCCCTTCTGCAGGATGACTCGTTGCCTATATCGATTGGCCAGGCACTATTGCAAGGCACGGGGCTGAGTGTCGAATTAAGATGGGACACGACTTGCCGAAACTTTTGCAGGGCCGTCTTTTCCTGGCCCTCGAGGGCGGCTACAGCCCAGATCTGATCGCGCAGCTTGGCTCTGCATGGGTGGCTTTGTAACCTGTGAAGACGCCTGCTGCTCGGCACTGCTTGCTGAGTAAGCCGGGTCTCTCCTGCTTCAATTTGATGGTTCTCAAGATTTGATTGCGCTGACTCATGGGGGCTACGCTGACGACGGTGATCACGACGATGAAAATGCTGATTGGAAGGAACATGATGTTGCTCATGGTAGTGGTGTGGTGATGCAGAAGAACGAAGAACGGAGGTAGACTTGGATTCAGACTCACGTGAACATGTGATGATGATGGCGATGATGATGATCCCTACTTGTCATGGCCGTTCTGATGGTAAGGATGATGCTGAAGGCAATGCTTCGATTCTGGTGATGATGATTGACTTTATCATGGTCATAGACATTTTGGCTCGTGATGGCGATGTAGGCTTTGAGGGCGCGTTTGCGATGATGGTGATGAAGCAGAAGGTCGGAGCATGGTGACTGTGCAGCGCCTGCTGCCGATCTGATCATGTTATGACGATGATGAGAAGGACGGCGACGAGAACGAACATGATGGATAATTGGAGCAGCGCTGATAATCTTCACTTCTGCCCCAATTCCCGATGATGGTGGTGATCAAAAGAGTGACGACTAGAAGCAAGAGGGACATGGACGATGTTGTTCTCATTATAGCACTTGTTGTCAACATAAATCGTGGTCGTCGTTGTTGTGGTGGTTGAAGCCGACGCTGTCCGTCATTGTGCAAACTGATCAAGGCAGTGCACAGTGGAGCCGCGGCCTCAACATGTTGGTGAGAGGCACTGGGTGCGTCGCCTGACCAGACACCTGAGAGGTGTGTTCGCACCCTCCTGGAAGAGGTCCATGATCTTGCAGGATTCTGCAGATGGGGACCAGGGAGAATGCGACAGGAAGCAACCGCAAGTAAGCTCAGATTTCCCTTGTTGATGCGGGCAGTGCAGTCATCCTCAACGCAGGCCCAGATAGTTTCCATGGGGACTTTGCTACATGCGGACCCGTTTCTGTCACTCGCGCCGTAAGTTAGCATGAGAGCGGACGCTGAGCCGAATTAAATTTCGGTCCATGCATGCTGGCTCAGTATGCCCCAACAGCTAAAGACGTTTTGCCTGTTTGTCGGCGCTGGTCTTTTTCGTTCTCCTGAATCACAGGGGTGTGATGTCAGTCGGAATTTGCAGATGGTGGTAAGGTACTTCCTGAAACTGTCCTAACCCCACAGAAAGGTTGGCCAGACTCTGAGAGGCCCCGAGAGTCGTGTCGGGCAGCCTTGCCCATAAAACACCTGAAAAAGAACCATGGCACCATGTGATTGTGGCTGCCTGGGTCCTGGTGACAGACTTTGCTGGACAAGAGGACCAGATGCAGACGACTTCATACCTCCGGCTCCATCCCCAAGCTGCAGCCTTCCCGGGACGTCGGAAGCTAATGACAGTCGTGGGCATCTTTCACTTCGGGCTCGGGCTTGAGCTGAGGCCTGCGATGATGCCGGCACCTCCGGCACGGTGTACGGGCAGTTGGCATCCAGGACTTTCGTACTGACAGCGGCAGATCGTCCAAGTTGCATGTCAGGTTTCGCCACTGCTTTGTGCCGCCAGCACTTCGGAGGCCATGAGTTTTCTAGGGTGGATCACCAGTAGGTTGGATTGAGACATCGAATGCAGGCTTCGCGGACGTCGACTCCCTCTTTCAGACCCGATGGCGCGGGCACGAGCAACATGACTGCAGCCCTAGAAAGAAGGGAACTTGGCAGGCACGCCACCTGCTTCCCCATCAATGAGCAGCAAGAAGGCCATTCCTGTAAAGTTCGAGGAGATCTAAAGCTTGTGCTTTGCTCCCTGCAAAAGGCTCGTGGTCCTGCCAACAAGACAGTTCGAGTGGTGAGGCCAAGCGAAGAGTCAGGCTAGTTGAGGACTCCTTGATTCCTCCCATGACTTGCAGCCTCCAGGGACCGAGGTGTAATCTTCTACACAATGCATGGCAATGCATGGCATCTGGTCCATGACACCTTACAGATCATGGCGATTATAGTGTACTAAGAGATACACGGTACAAAATCTCAAACCAAAACACACGACATCGTACGAGTTGACGTGCTTCATCCAGATTCGCTTGAATCCCAAAGCCAAAGCGGATCGCCATGGCGGAACTGGCGGCAGACCTCCTCCGGAGCAAGTATGAAGTTGGAGAACTGCTTGGTGAAGGCGTGGTGGGGCTGAGAAGCAGGACACTCGCCACGATCTGGAATCCCGGAAGGACTCTGCAGAAGGGATGCCGTATGTCAGGATAGA